ATTTTGTGCCTTGCAACAAGCCCTCTTTCCTCCCTGCTGGGTCTTCATCTCTACATTACAACTAAAGCAGGCTTTCACTATGTCCCTTCCTTCCAGGGCTGGCAGTCCCTGTGAGCAGTCATTTTCCTGCAACCTAATTTCTACAGCCCATCACCAACCACCAAGGGCATTTTCTGATTACTCATGAAGCTAGTGGGAGTTTGGACCACTGAAATAAAATCCTATATAAAACAATGAAATGATCCTGGCACTTCAAATCCTTTTTTTTTTTTTTTTTTTTTTTTAACACCATATACAGGCTTGACTTTGTAAGTGAAGCAATTGCAGGTAGAGCAGCTAAGGCCAGTGATCAGTTCCCCAGTGTCTTGAAGGCTGTCCACCATGCAGCAGGCACCTGACAAATATTTGCTGAAGGCATGCTAACACACACCCGCTGGCCATGTGTATGTTTGTACCAATTACAGCTACATGTTCTACTATCCAAAATACCTCTTTTGATAAGGGACTAATAGGGAAATTATACTTTCCTGGTTTCTTGAAAATACCATGAAGATCCTAAAGGAAGCTGAATGGCAGTTTTTCAGAACCTTGTCATAACTGTGGCTGTCATTTTATAGTCACATGCTCAGAGCTTGGACCTACTTGCCCAGGACAGCCACACAACACCATGTCCTCCCCTTCACCTCCCCTCTTTTTAGAGGGCTTTGCATCAGCACCAACCTTCTTCTTCTAATATGTTATCCCCCTCCCCCACTCTCTCCAAGTAGCCATATAACTTGGAAGTGTTTATTTTTGCCATCTGTATTTGAGTGTGACTGAGACTGGAAGCAGCCTGTGTTTAAGTCAAGCCCCCACTCCTCACCCTCCTCTTCTGTGTCCTCCCACTTACACAAACCCCTCTTTTAGCTAGATGAATGTTCTTAAAAGTCCTGACCCTTCCTTCATCTCCTCCACAGCTCCAACCTAAACCAGCCCCTGCCCAGGAGCCCCTGAAATGCCTTTAGCTTCACTATTAAATCCTCCCCTGCAGGAAGCGCTTCTAACATGCAGAGGGTGCCTCTCTGGGGGTGTTTCATGCCATCCTGCTCTTGTGTTAGCCAGGACTCTCTCCTCTACTCCCATCCACTTCAGAAGACTGGGTCTCAGATCTGCTCTAGCCTAGAGCTATCAAGTATTCAGCTCTTACCACAGCACCTGTTCTAACAATTTCCCCACACTGCTATCTATCCATCTGCTCTGTCAAGGGGGAGCTATACTTCCTGTGTACCTTTCACACAGTAGATGTTCAGTACTTGTTCAGACATACTGCTATCTCTCTACCAACCTCCTCCATCACTATTCCATATGGGTACCTCAGGAATTACCAATTCTCCAGAGAGCTAGAGCCATACTAATTATCACCCTACCATCCACAAGTCTCATGGTGTCTGGTGATTACAGCCATACCCATGGGGCTTCCCATGTCAAAAACCTCAATGTATTCTCCAACATGAACAAACCATTAACAAAACTCATTGTAATTTATTTCAATGTCTACTTCTGTCCCCCCACCCCCACCCCATTATCACTACTACTCATCTCTTCTCTCAGACCTCAATCTGCAACTGGCCTCCCAAATGCCCATTGCACCCCACACACACACACAACCACTGGAGAGGTTGATCTAAAACACAGTCCTTCTTGTACCCTGTGGCATTTCCCCCCCACTTCCTAAGTGATAAAACACGCCACACTCCACACAAGGCACTCGGGACTTTTCTAGACCCTGCCTGAGTCTCAGCACCTCCTCCATCTGCCCCACCATGTATCTTTCAACGTAATCAGAGCAAACTCACCTTCATGCCCTTAACTTTGCTTTGCTCTCTTCTTGCAGCTCAGTCATTTATATCAGACTTCCTCTGCCTATGATTTTTGCTTCAAGGTCCATTCAGTACTCATTTCTATTCTAATAGACATGGACCCCATGTAATTGTTCCAAGCCTAAACTAATGTCCAAACGCCTGCTTATTAACAACTTTCCTTCCAAAATGAGTTTAAACAGAAGATACATTGTATCGGTTAAATGAACTCTGCTCCCTACATTTGATGTAAGCTATCTTCGGGAGCCGGGAGGCCCTGCACTGGTTCCTCCAAGGCTGCCTCTCCTGGGGAAGGCAGACTCCTTACCTCTGTAAGGAGGAAAACAGTAAGCAACCATGGGTATTAAGGACATTTCGTCCTTGAGAACATAATAGGAGATAAACTATTTGCAACCAACTTAACTGAGCATGCGCATTTATCCAAAGAACCCTCATCCATGGAGAGGATGGAGAGGGCTCTCTTGCTTAGGATTCTCTCAGTTGGGAACTTCAGCTGATTGTCTCAGCTAACTCAGTTTCTGCTGGAGAGTTGTAAACTCCCAATTTGATTATGTTCTTGACCTGCTGCTGTTTGTTCTTTTACCTGAGAAGACAATCCAACTCTGCCTGGGATGCCTGATTGGAAACTCCATCTGACTGTCTCAGTGGGGCTTCTCCAATAGATTTCTGCCACCAATCTGTAAACTCTAGATTTGATCTAGTCTTGTGGTTGTCATTTCTGCTGGATGTTGTGGTCACCTGGTTTGATGTTTTGCCACCCAGCAATGTCTTTTCTCTACCTGTTACTCACTACTTATTTTTTACTTTTACTACCTATCTATTAAGTAACTCACTCTTTCAACACTGGAAGCATGACTATTGTAGAACATTCTATGGACTCTACCAAACAAATAGCTTACATGCTATATGTACAATGCAAGTGCATGTTTAAGAAATAGAATGTCACAGCTGAGACTTTAGCACAAACAAGATAAAAGTAAGTGGTCACGGAACATTCAGAATGTCCACCACAGGGCCCAAACTCATCTCATTGAAGCACATTGGCCCCGAGTCTCCAGCAAATGAGGTGATCCACTCTTCTACAAGCCCACTGTCAATCATAAATGCCAACCACTAGCACACACCGTATTTTTTGTAATTTGCCTTTTGTGTCCATCTCCCTCTTTAGAATGGGGAACTCCTAAGAAAATATATAATTTCTGACTCATCTCTCCATCTCAACATGTAGCATATGACTCAGCAAAGGACTGGCACAGAAAAAAAGATTTGAATGAATTTCCTAATGGCCAGGAAATATAGTGAAATGCTGTTGAGTTTCCTGACAACTCTCTCTCTCTCTCTCTCTCTCTCTCTCTCTCTCTCACACACACACACACACACACACACACACACACCACAATCACAAAGGTGAGAGACAGCAGAGAAATGGATGAGCCCCCAAGTTTTCTCTCTCTCCCAAATCACTTGCTTGTTGCACTATGCATAATTTTTGTTGCCCTTACTATCACTGTGTACTCCCAAATCCTCTTCTGAGCCCTAGTTTTAAACAAAACACCTTTATTCAAGAAATCTGTCTCTCTTACTCATGGGAAAGGTGACACTTGGTAAGAAACGAGGAGAGTGCAGTGTGCCTCCCTGCTGGCAGAGAGCTGGCCTGCCATGTTTCCAACAGTGTACTGAAGTAGGCAGTCCTACTCCTCACTGCTCTTCCTCCTACTGCAGACCCAGGCGCCTTTCCTGTCTCCCTCGGTATTTTTTTTTTTTTTTTTCCCCTTTCAGTTCTCCCCATTCCAAACTGAAACTCAAAAGTTTCTTCAACACCACTATGTCACTTAAGCAGGTGAAGTCTCAACTCCCCTTCTTCACATCGGTTAGGCTTGGTATTTCAAGCATCTTATCAACCTTGAGGGCTGTCCAGTATCTTCATCTCCCAAAACACTACCAGGAGCCACTGCATCCTAAGTGGCGGCTCAGTGCTTTGCCAGGTCTCACGCTGTGCCTGCATTTCATCTGAACACTGCGCCCAGCTTCGGGAGTAAGGAGATACAACTTCAGATATTTCTTCGGAACTCCTCCCACTCCCTTCTCAGGATAGACCTGTCTCAAGATGCAACTGTGGGGAGAGGAAACGGATGACCCCATCTTCCTCCGGGTTTTAAAATTCTTTTTCTCCAGTCCATATGTCTCATTCTGGCCTCACACTCAAATAGTTGCCCTCAATCCTAACTCAGGAACTATTTTATTAACATTCAACACACCCCGTGGTGGTCTTTACTGACATGATAAATCCCACACACAACTCAGACCCTGTTAACCCAGCTCCAGTTAAATGTGTGAAAAAAGATGTGTCCTCAACCTAGAGCCATTCTCCTAAGTACCGCAAAACATTCGTACTGTTAAATGTTATCACAGCGATGCAACATCCATTCTCTATCATCAGAACAGGGAGACTAAATTCTTGTTTCTTACTCCAATATAAAAAAATTCTTCCTGCAATTTACAGAGCGATTATTTAATAATTCACGGCGACTGTTTAGGACCTGGGGCCTGGGACATAAAGTACTTAAATTTAGCTATCAGAAGATACACATTGTCTCTCATAATAATACCTGGGGGTGGCTATTACATCACGCCCTACTCCCCCATTATAGAAACATCAACCCAGCAGCCTCGGAGTAAAGGAGCTTCCCCAAGGTCAGTCGGGCAGGGATGTGATGCACTGTTTCCTCCTAAGATCCTCTGAAGGAGGGACCCAGCCCATTATATCTCAGGACCGGCCGGGAGGCAGGGGGTCTCAATGGAGACAAGTACAGAAAAGCGGCGAGCGCAGTTCCCTGCACACAGTGGGGATGTGAGGACCGCGGCACCGCGGGGTCCGCTGGATTTTTGGCCCCAGCGCCTCCGGGGCCCGGGCTCGGAGTCCCCCTCCCGGGAGCTCCGGCGCGTCTGCGAGGCCCGCGCGCCGGCGCTTTGTACGCGGCAGGCCGGCCGGGTTCCCGGGGCACCGCGGCGCGCGCAGGCGGCCGTCGGCCTGCAGGGAGGAGGGCGCGGCGGCTCGGCCCGAGAGCCCGCCAGAGCCCCGCGCTCCCGCCCCGCCCGCTTCCCCGGCCGGCCGCGGCCCTCCCGGCCTCAGCCTCCTACCTGCAGCGGCGGCGCGGCGGCCGCGGGTCCCGGGGAGGGGCGCGGAGGCACGAGCGCGGCGGCCTGGGTTGCTCTGGCGGGCTGGGCGGCCGGCAGGGCCGCGGGCTCCAGGCGCCGGGCGGCCGCGCGCCCCCGGCCGGCCAGGCCCCGCCGCGCGCGCCGCGGCCACAAAGCCCCGCTTTGCCGCCGCCCCCTCGCGGGCCGCCGCCGCCTCCTGCCGCTCGGTGGGCGCCGCGGAGGGCGGGAGCGCAGCCCCGCGCAGTCCCCACCTCCCGGAGTCGCGGTCCCACTGCGCTCCCCACCTTGGCCCGGGAGCTGCGGAAGGGGAACGTCTCCGCCAACAACAAAAGAATGCATTTTCCTACAGTGGGGATGTGGCAGTCACCCGCACGAGTTAGCGCGAGCCTCCTGACTGACGTGTGCCCTCTTCTTCCGAGACTCCACGATGCTAAGAATGGCACCCCCTCCTACTCTGAGTTCATCCGCCAACTTTTGTGGTTTTGTGTTTTGGTTTTTGGTTTTTTGGTTTTTGTTTTTTTAAATCGGCCGGAATTGTCTCCTAAGAAGGTGTGCGCTCTCCCTCCCCCAAGGACCCCGGCTGTGCCCACAGACCTCAGGACCCGCCCAGTGTGCCGACCCAATGGGACCCAAGACACGCGGCTTAAACAACTGTGCTGCAAAGGGGCCCTTCTTCTTCTTCGGACAAGGCCTTTACCCCTCCCCCAAGGAGGAAGACTGTTTCTTTTGCCCTGCATCGGTAAAGAAGATTCCAAACTCAGAGAAGGGCAAAGGAGGGTGGTTAAACTTTTACTTTTTACGAGAGATGAAACTCAGCATAAAAATAACCATTTAAAAATTAACAATTCAGTGGCATTTATTACACTTAAAACAGTCAGCAACGACCACCTCACCTCCTAATTCTGACCGGTTCCATCAAAAGGAAGCCCCCATACAAATTAAGTAGTGACTCCATTCCCTGAAAACAGCTAATCCGTTTTCTTTCTCTATAAATGTACCTTTTCTGTATATTTCATATATATGGAGTTGTGTGCCTTTGGGGCTCTCTGTGTGTGTGTGTGTGTGTGTGTGTGTGTGTGTGTGTGTGTGTGTGTGTGCTACATGCCTCGAACTCACTCTGTAGACCCAGCAGTTTTTGAACCAACAAATGTCCGGCCTAAGCCTCTCTAGTAGCTGATATCACAGACCTGCTCCACCAGGCCTGGTTTTGTCTGCCTAGGTCAAAGAATCCAGACAAGGTTATTCCAAGTTGTAGCATGCATCACAGAATACATTGATTTTTATGGCTACATAAGATGGCATTGTATGCATATACTACAGTTTGCTTTTCTGTTATTACATCTGTTGGTGGACATATGGGTTATTTCCACCTTCTGGCTAATGTGAACAAGTTCTCTGAACATACCTATGCATTTGTCTAAATAATGTTTCAAGTCTTTGGGATACATATTTAGGAGTAGAATTTCTGGGCCATATATGTTAATGTAGTCATATGTATAACTTTTTTATTTTGTTGCTTTTTGAGACAGGGTCTCCTGTTAGCTCAGGCTGGCCTCAAACTTGCTTTGTAGCAAAGGATGACTCTGAACTTTGGATCCTCCTACCTCTACCTCTGGAATGATGGGATTACAGGTGTGAGTCACACATCCGGTCACCCACAATCTTTACACAGGTGATCATCCAGGTTTTTGACTGCAGAAAAAACAAAAAAAAAAAAAAAAAAAAAAAAAAAACAAGAGACATCTAAGCATTCCCTGGGGTGGGTTACAGGAGCACCTGTAATTACTCTAGGCTAAGAATTATAGCTGCTTTTGTTCCTTACTATTTATTTTAACAATAACTTGTCCGGTATCCCAGGATCTTTGGAATTGCCCAGAGTGCCAGGAAACAGACTGGGGATGGGGGCTTGCGCTCTATTGGCAGACAAACTTTATGACACACATTGCAGAAGCTGAAGCTGCTCACCATTTCCACTTAGGCTTTCCACTTAATGACTTAGAAGCCCTTAAAGATAGGATTCTTATATGAGAGGCAATCAAAGGAAAACCATTAGACTGTGAAATTAGAAGATCAATCCAGATTGGAAATTTGAATGATAGGTAGTAAAGTTGGGGAAAGAAGGTGTAGCAAGGGAGCTTGTACTACCTATTTCCACATGAAGTGTTTTATCTACCTGAAACTGCTTTCTCATTCTTTAAGAGAGAGCTAATGTTGCCTACCTGATAGGATAGGATAGGTAAAAGCTTCCAGCCTCACTGGGCATGGTGGCACACACCTTTAATTGGGAATTCTGGAGGCAGAAGTAGGTGGATCTCTGAATTTGAGGCCAACCTGGTCTACAAAGCAAGTTCCAGGACAGCCAGGGAAACACAGAGAAACCCTGTCTCAAACAAACAATCAAAAACAAAACAAAACAAAACAAAACAAAAAAACAAATACAAAACTTCTAGCCTCAATAAATGTTCAGTGCTTTTGGTTTTAATGCTGAAGATTGGTATGACCACCCAAAAAAACTGCTGCTATGAACACATTTGACCACATGTTTCTCCTCAAATCAAGAGAAGCAGGCTAACCTTAAAATGAATAAGGCCAGGGTAACAACTCAGATCCCTAACACAGTTTCTGCATCTCTTCTCCCTGTTTCCTGACTTAGGAAGGCAAACTACCCTGGTCAGGTTTTTTTTTTTTTTTTTTTTTTAAACATAGCTCAATCTTATCCGTAATGTGGAGTAATGTCTCCTTAATAGGATTTGACAAGATGGTGCATACAGAGAGCTTAACACAGAGCTGGCAAATAGAAAATACTATTACATGTATTGATAAGAAAGCTATTATAAATTCTCCAAGGAAAGTAATAGCAGAAGGACAAGATCAACAGAAAGGCAAGTAAATAAAGCTGTAGGGGAAAACCCACCCATTGGAACGACTTGTCCCTTCCTGAAGACAGCCCAGTCCATTCCCACAATGGGTATGAGCACTGCCTTGTACTCCAAAAACAGTTTGTTGAGAATAGCTTTAAGCACAGTCCTTTTTGCTCTGGCCCAGGCTTACCAAGCAGTCGCGATATAGCAGCTAGTTTCTATGAAAGCTCTCTGAAGGAAAGAACATGAACTGAGCATCTAACCTGAAAGCTACAGCATTCCGAGAAATCTCAATGTTCTTTGCAATTTGGCATTTCATTTATCTCTCTGACTGTTACTATTTTGAATGGACAATGTCCCTGAGGTCTCAGTGAGAATGGATATTAGAAACTATTTTAAACTGGGTTTTCTAGCAAATAATGGAGTCTCATCCAAACTTTCCAAAAGAGGCTGTTTGTTTAATCTGAGGCCAATTAGAACTATGGAACCAGCCTGAGCAGGACCTGCAAGTACCTAAAAGCCATCAGGGACTGCCATCTATTTAGCTTCAGATTCCTAATCCTTCCTTCTCTCTCTTTCTGTTTGACAGTATTGCTAAGTAGTTCAGACTGGCCTCCAACTCTTCAGCCTCCTGCCTCTGCCTCCTGTGTACTGGGATTACAAGAGGCTACCACCACAACCAGTTTCTCAGTGTGTCTTGCCTTGTCTCTTTCTGTCCTGCTCTCTTTATGTTTGCTCTGTGTGTCTTCTTCTTCATCGTCTTCTTCTTCTCCTTCTCTTTCTTTTCTCTTGTATATGTGCTCCATTCTCTCCCCATCTCCCAGCCTGCTTCCTCTGCTTGACTGTCTAGCACTTAGTCATAAGGGATATCATTACCAACATCACCCCAGAGTATGGGAAGTGCGGAAATGTCCTCTTTCTTTGTTCATATTTACCCAGACAAAAAGCAAACAAACAGGCTGAGTTCATTGCTTTAAGAAAGGACAAGCTAACGACACATGTACCAACTGCTTTTGGGTTAGAAATCCACTTCTGATCTAATAGGTTGTTCTGGAGTGGAGGAAGAGGTAGCAGTTGCAATATAGCACCAAAAATAAAGGAGTTACAAGTGGAAGAATTCACCAAGACTTAGCACAGGAAGATAAATACACAGAAATCCTTGTGTTAATAGGACTGTATTTTTGAAAGGAAGAAAAAAAAAAAAAAACCCACAACAACTTGAGATAGATTCATGAGGCACAGAAATATAGATTAGTGTAGCCCCACCCTTCATTTAAAATAAAAATCATCTTTTTGTAACAAAGACCATTACAGAAAACCACAGCTGGTTAAAATGTAGAGAACAAGTGAACAGGGGACCCAGCCCCAGTGGATACATCTACAATACAACTGTACCTAAGTTAGCTCAGGATGGTGGATGAGGGAGCAGAAAGATAGTAAGAATCAAAAGGAAATCTGCCATGAGATTATGTTTCCTAGAAACGACAAGGAACGTCACCCATGACACCTCAATAATATGGAAAACAAGACCTGAACATGAACAACATCAATAGACTTGCTAACACAGAGGGGAGAAATCCCATGAGGCCCCACTTCTAGACAAAGAACTACAGGAAACTAAGGAATACTGAGATTGAGAGAATTAGTTCTCCCCAAGGATAAGCCCCCAAACTGATTATCCAATATCAAGAGGTCAATCTTGAAATCACATAGAGAAGCAACACTAAATGGAGTTATCAGGTTGTTTTTATACACACACATACCAACAACAAATTAAAAAAAAAAAGAGAGATCATGAATTTGAGAGGGAGGGAGATGGGAACATGGGAAAAAATAAGAGAGGGAAGGGAAGGGGGATATAACATAATTATATTTTGAGTTAAAAAATAAAACAAAATACATTTTAAATTAGGATGAGTAGTATAGAAGATATTGCATATACTCTCTAGTGGTACAGATAATCTAGGAGATGCAGTTCAAATGCCAAAATATTAGAAAATCTGAAGTTATTGATAGTGGCAATAATGAAGCAAGATTTTTGAAATCCAAATATTCCTGGAAAATCTTATTGACTACAATGTATGATAGTACAAAGCAGAATACTCACAACATTAAAATATGATGCTAAATAACTTTTGTATGTGTAAACCAATGAAAAGTTGATTTACATAAAATACATATGGGGACTGGAGAAATGGCTCAGCAGTTAAAAGCACTGGCTAATTTTCTAGAGGTCCTGAGTTCAATTCCTAGCAACCA